TCAGATTGCTATTTAAGGCAGAGTTTCTTAATCAATGTGCTGCAGTTAAGAGAATGCCTAGAGATACCGATCCATGAATTACTCAGGGAAGTCAGACTGGGTCCGGGGTGGCCAGTGCTACTTGGCCAATAGACTCGAGCCATGAGCAGCTTCCCTGAGTTCCTTCTGATGGTTGCCCAAGCTGAGCATGGTCTGACAATATGCTGACCAGGGAGCTCTCCAGAACCTCTCTCATGAGAGCTCCACCCTCTTGACCTAATCACCTCCTAAAGGCCCCATCTCCAAACACCATCATATTAGAGACTAAATTTCTATATATACATTTTGAAGGGACACAAACATTTAGTCTTTAGCAATATGTTACCATGTATAATAAAGTGAAAAAAGATTTGGGATCATCAACTCAAACCCAGGTATGAATAAATAATTTCTCAGAAGAAAACAACCGGCCCTGGATCTAAATGTGTCTTTATTTCTAAGCTAGCAGCTTTCTAAAAGCCAAAGTCCTAGGTGGAATTAAGGCAAAGTTATTTTGTTTCTGCATCCTTTCCCACGTGTTTCGAGGTGAAGAGCCTCACCCCAGCCCCTGGCTTCGAGCAGTGAGCTGTACACTGTTTCCCGTGTGGGATGGGACGCTTCAAGACTCCTTTACAGGAATGGAAATCCTGAATTCCACTGCTACTTCTGGACTGGAAACCTCTACATCCCCATTGTCAGCTCTGCTCACATTTGGTGTTCCTGTTCCTCTTCTTGTGCACAGAAAAGATTATCTCACTGATAAACTTTGCTGTATCTTTCCCTCCATTGCCCTTTTTATATGCCTGCCCTTTCCATGTGTTTGGAGAACAGGAGTTGATGATGATGGATGTCTAATGGAACCATCTTGACTGGAAGTCCTAATGAAATCTTTATCTTGTCTGAGCAGTAAAGGTGGAAGAGAAAAAAACCTCTTTTATCTAACTGCGTATATTTTTAAATCTTTACTTTTTGACTTGAGCAAGTTTTTTGGTCTTAAAAGGTAAAAACTTGGAGGTTTTATTTTCCAGCTTCTCTCCTGATGAGAGGTGCCCGTCCTTCTAACTTTACAGATGCGTTAGGATGCAACAGTCCAAACACAGGCATCTCACAGAGGTAGCAGGAGCAGCAGGACACCATCTTCCATGGATCAGACATCACTTCAGCAGCAGAAGCAGGTAGATGCCTGTGGTGGGCAGAATAATGTCCTCCTCTCCCCCGCCCCTGGCCAGTGATGCTCCAGAACCTGTGACTGTGTTATTTTACATGGCAAAAGAGACTTTACAGATGTGTTTAAATTAAGGATTTTGAGATGGAGGAGATTATTCTGGATTATCCAGTGGGCCTAATGTAATTCAAAAGATCACTAAAAGTGAAAGAGGAAGGAAAAAGTCCGTGTCAGAGTCAGACAGAGATTTGAAGATGCCATGCTGTTGGTTTTATGGACGGAGAAACATACTATAAGCTAAGGAATACAAGTGGCCCCTAGAAATTGGGAAAGGCAGAAAATGGATCCTTCCCAAAAGCCTCTAGAAGGAATGCAGCATTGCCGATACCTTGATTTTAGTCCAATAAGAACCATTTCAAATTTCTAACCTCCAAAACTGTAAGCTAATAAATTTGTGTTGTTTTAATCCACTGAGTTTGTGGTAATTTGTTACAGCAGCAATAGGACACTAACCCAATGCCATGATCCTGAGACAGGCACCCCATGTATGGCTGTAGCATCCCCCGTCAACCTGGTGGTCACCTAACAAACAAACCCCGACATCATTACGCAGTCAGCATCACTCAGAGACTTCACTCTCCTGATATAGGGCAGATCACAGCCCTTTGTTGTTTTTAAGAAATCTTTCCTAGTTCTACTCCTTTGAACCTAATCTTTCAGAGCCTGGATTTGTGCTTATTTGCTTCCCTGCTTGGCTATACAATTTTTCCAATCAGAGCCCAGTATTTGTCTCATATTTTGTTAGTTTTTCTTTAGCACTTCAGAATAAAGTAATAAATAAATAAAATCAAAACAAAACAAAAATGGCCACGTGGATGTTTTCTGAATCCATTTCTCCTGCTAGCAACTCAATGTCTCTTTTCCTATTTATAGTTGACATGAACATATCAGTCATTGC